CCCTAGGTAGACTACGTCATCGCCCCGGGACTACGTGGTGGTACTGTTGTACGAACACAATGAGCACAGGCGAGTAGGTATCTGGACGTTGTGGCCCCTTGGTTTGGCCATAGTCTAAATCGCGTGCCCGGGCCGGAGGCCGACCAATAGATTGCATCCCGACAATGATTTTCATCAAATACTTCCTATACGAACGAGTCATGCCAGGGGAGCGAGGCGCATGGCTTACATTGACACACGTAGAGAGCCGGTGTCTTGCGTGTCATGTAAATGTGATTTGCCACTGAGGATCCTATAAGCCTGGTACGAGCCAGATGTCATTTGAGAAGTTGAAGGGTGAGATCCTGTCGACGGTGGCTGTGAACGAATGGAGGGGTAGTCCCTGAAACAACGGCCCAACTTTGGGAAAGGAGGGGGGGGCGTAGGTGAATTTGGGGTTAATGGAGTAATGGGTTGGGGTGGGCGGGCTGCCTGCCTCCAACCAACCACCAGTGCCTGGTCCTTTGTAGCCCGCAATCACGGCGCGGGTGCCATCCGAAGATCGAGAACCTAAGGCCGGCCCGAATACGGGGGGGAAGTCGTGGAGCAGGGGGGCTCGGAAGACGGAAGGCGGTCCTTGCTGATCGTTGAGACGGAGACCTGGGCTGACAGACGCCAGCTGTCGCGTGTGGTTCGTAGCCAGAGGATATGGCGGCGTGCGTGCCTCTCGTGGAGAAATGAGACGGTTATCGCAGGATGGCTTCATGATGCTATCCATAGTGGGCGATTGTCCGGTTCATGCCTTAATGCCGCTGGAGATTGCATGCATGCCGAGAAATCAAGCGAGCGTACCGATGGCCCTTTCAAGAAGAATGCCGGCCCCTCAATTCTGCTCGCTCTCCCACAACCCGAAAGCTGGAGATGGATGCAGGCAGGGAAGGCGATGCGGAGGGGCGACGAGACATCGGAGAGAAAAAATAAAAAAAGGGACCCTGGTTACCAGCCTGCTCAGGCTGCATGCATGCAGCTACTCGGGCTCGCTTCGTTTGAGGTGATCGGATCTCATGAGCACAGCGTCTCAAGTGAAAGGTGCAAATTGCCTTCCAATTGCTCAATGACAGAGCCTGTCAGTAGGTGACAAGGTGGGATGCTGCACATGTTGATAGGGGTCTTGGTGATGAGATCGGACGAGTCAGCCCGTCTGAAGTTGTCGGCGCCTGTTTCACGATGAAGGGGTCGGTCGCCTGCCTCGGTTGTCGAAGCTTGCTATTCATGGTGCTCTTTGGTCGGGAGCTCCAGGAAAGATGGTTGGAAGATGGGGTTTCACATGTGAAGCATTCACAGTGAGCAATGTCGCTTGGAACTCGAAATGAGAAATCGTCCGTATGCAGACAAAGAGGATCAAACTTGAATTGGACAGCGCAAGGCAACGTGGCCTGACAGCAATTGAACCAGAAACGACCAACACCATGGACTCGAGATGATGGAGAAACAAGATGGAAAAGAGCGCCGAAATGATGTGGTGGTGGCCCAGATGCGCCACGAGATTGCATTGGCCTCGTCGTGACGGAGGGCAAGAAGCGATCATCAGGTGTGGGCCTGATCCCGACTTTCCTGGTCAGAGGCCCACTGCTTTGTCCCACACGCGCTTGATGCCTCCTGCCCGACTGGCTAATCCCGGGCGGCGTAATATTGACAGGATGGGAAAGTACGCCCTCTGGACTGGTCGCCCCTTGCCTGCCAAAAATGGATCTGTAACAGGTACCTGCAGTTCGCGAGGCAGGAGCGATGGGAGGGTGTCTGCACTGTGCGCTCCGTCCTTCCGAGGGTGGGGTAGTCGAGATCATCCCAATTCAAAGATGGAGTCCTGCACGATGTGGACTGTATGCGCACAGTACATAGAGATGAGACGGAAAGAATTGACCGCCGGCCTACCTTACTCCATGGGAACTTCCTTTCCCCCGTCGTGTGCCACGCCAGATCTTCAAAACTCCCTGCATTATCTTTGTGCGAGGCGTTAGCACAGACCGACACAGTTGTCCATTCCCATGAAGACGGACAATTAGATTGCCTACCAATCTTTTTCGTTACCAATCTTTTTCGTTATCCATCCCAGATATCTTGGCTATGTTGCTCGATCGTTTGCCATCAGCCTTCAACAGGACAGGTTGATCGATCAATGTGATAAAAAGACGCCTCTTTACAATGCAGACCATGCGAAAGGACTTCACAAGACCCCGTCCGCCTCCAGAACGATGTCTCAAGAGCTTCTGTCCATGCCTTGAGCTATTCTGGAGCATCGCACAGACTTCTCATGACATGGGGGAAACGAGGCTGAGCCACGAGGAGCATGGTCGCTTGACCAGATCTTCACCGTCCTGACGTCCTGGCCTGGCCCACGCCTGGCAGACACCCGAAGAACGGCTAAAGTACCCCTTGTAACCTCTTCTGTCACGCTTGCCACGGACCCTGATCAATGCTGACCTCCGCAAAGGCCTCGTCCGTTGAAGCTCCATGTCGACGCATCTTGCGCAGCCTAATTGTGTTTTCCCAGGCCCTGTTATCAATGGTCTGCTACCTAGCGAGTCACTTGTCCCAGGAACAGAATTGAACGATGTATGAGCCACCAATGCTGCCAGATGGATCAGGCCTCCCTCGTCGATACCAGGCCAACATCAACGGCGTCCCCCCATCTGCAAACCACGCAGCTCATCGTCTTTGCCGCTAAAACAAAGTGGTCCTCCCGTCCCCTGCACTCCGAAAGGGCCTGTTCAGCCAGAGACGAGACACCGGGTGTGCCGACAGAGGTCAACACCAAGCCGTGGTAGCGCGACGGTACCACCCCTGCTGCTGTTACACTCAGTCTGGAGTCCTCAATCCAACCAGGTTAGTTAGCCAGCCAGTCCATCCGCCAACATACTAGGCCAGAGGACTCAGTCCCTCGTGCCCTACCAGTGGCCGTCTGTCGTTCAATCGCCCTTGTGTGGTCAGAATTCCATGCCATAGCAAGCATGGTATAGCCAGTCTCCTTGGCGGCCCATCAGGTCCATGCACGCCCTCCCAGCTTCGTCCTCTGATTGCCATCAGCACTCACACCACGAGCGCACACACCTGTCAAAAGAACCGACCACATCTCTCTCCTCATTCTTCTCCCCCTCATCCATTCACTCCCCCTACTTGGGGCACCCCGACCGGCAAAGCTGCAGCGCACTTCGGCACAGACAATGCCAGGCCCTGTCGGTCGACCAGGGTGATCGTTATGCCATTAAACAACGTCGTCATTGCTCCCATCGAGTTGCTCTAACTCGACGACACCCCCGACCAAGGCCAATCTATCATCCATTGCTTCACAGAATTCACTTCCTTGCTTGCGGACTCTCCGTGATCCTTGAGCCGCGCCACGATTGTATCGGTTGAAGAATTGGTCTTGTCATCTCTACATTTCTCCGTGCCAGGCTCTTCTCAGTTTCAACTTCATACTGCATCAGACACCTTGGAGACAGACCGACTGGAACTGCAGCAGAGGTGTCAACGGTCCCAACTCTCCCGTTTCTGGTTCAAGTACAGGGTGAATTCGTGCCTGCTCACGCGCCGCACCAGGATAGGCTCATCCCCTGTGCTCCGGACCCTGGAGTACTCTAGCCATCACTCACGGTCGAGGCACACTGCGAGTCTCTACCTACAACTGCCTGCTTGTCTTGCATTCCCGTCCCATGCCAGCTATACCTAGTCAGCTCAGTTATACCCTCTCTCCACTCACGTACCTGAGTCACCCCCCTCTTTAACTCACACGGGGCGCATACAGGCAGTGTCAGTCCAGACGCGGCCCTGACCGTCCATGCCTCGATACGTCGCTCTTTCGCTGCTCCATCCTGCAGATTCTGTCCCAAAACAGACGCACGCGCCAGTGGCTACTCACGCCAGGTACTTTCACCTGCACCCCGTGTGCCCTGAGTACTCTACACGCCTAACGCACCTCCCCCGGTTCGCCCGTCTGGGCCTGGGCCGTCATTTGCAGCTCTACCTTCCACTCTACTGTCCACTCCACCTCACCCATTCTCCACAGCACGCTTGCCTGGCCCATCACACTCTGCCCTATCCGATCTGACAAGGGCCAACACTCGATCCTGCCTTCCGCCTCCCGCCTTACTCCGAAGCATAGAGTAGTGCGACTGGCGGGCCAAGCGCAGGGTAGCAATAGTATCCAAGCATCTGTGAGCACGGGGTACTGGTGCTCGCAACAGATTCTGTGTTCCGCGTTGCGTCTCTCGGCGCTACTCCCACTACATATCTGCTAGGAGCCGGCTCTTGACCTCCCAGGTAACGTCCAATATTCACCCTCAGAATTCTTGCGACGAGCAATCACCATCATCCCATCAACGTCAAGGCATTGACGCCACCCCGGTATACGCAGGCGCGTCTCCCATCATCCGAAATCTAGCCCCTGCACCCTGTGTACGATCACCGCGCTTCGACGACCAGGGGCTCGCCCGGCTCGGGACCCTTTCGAACTACCCGCGCTCAGACCTTGAAGAACCCCTCCCACCTTGAGCCGTACAAAGTTCGAGGATCCCCCGCCATTCAAGAGTGTGCTCTACCTGTCGATCTGTCTCTCTTCTGCCATCTTACGGATCGACTCCGCTGGATCAAAGCATTTCGACATCAGACGAAAGCGGATTCAGTCTTGCACATTATCTTTCCATCTTGCTTGGGTGTTTAGGATCCATCTCAATCACCCACAAGCTCGAGAGCGCGTCAGCCTGCTTAGGCGAAAGAGTTCCGACAACCTAGACATCCTGCAAGGCAGGAGGAGCTTCCGCATTTATTCAAAGCAACAGATCAGCCTTGTTCGACAACAGACCGTCACAAAAGTGCCAGACTACGATTCCGTCTTGGCCGACGGGCAACTCCTGCCTGGTGCTTGACGTCAAGGCCCAGATTGCAAAAGGAGCAACGCTGGGTCGTTATACCAGCGGGACTTCCACATCTTGCATACTGGTCAGAGGCCGTCGCTCGACAAGATGGCAGGTCTTGCCAATGTCCAGTCATATTCTGGACTTGACTCTCCGCAAGACCCGGTCATATCGGCTGGCGACTACGTGCTCACAATGTGCCAAGAGCCAGTCATTGGCCTTGTGGCAGGTGGGAAAGACAAGGGTGAGCATTTTTGTCCGCCTCAGATCCGTGGGTTTCTGACACGTACCAGATCGGAAGCCACTAGACCCTCCTCCAGTTGTGAAGCTCGACGTGTCACATCAGCGCGATCCAGCAGGACTCTTCCTATCGAGTAAGACAGAAGCCAACGAAGGATCAAATTGTGCGAAGCTAATCAACCACAAGATCCATACAACTTCCTTACATGCCATCTAGTCAAAGTCGGAGACCACAACATCGAAACGCCCGTTCCCGGAAACAAACTCGTCGGCACAGTCGTCTCTTCGCTGCACAGACTCAAAGACAAAGACAATCAGGATGTGGCGTATTTTGTCTTTGGCGACGTTTCTGTCAAAGTAGAAGGGCGTTTTCGTCTAGTTTTTACACTTTTCGACATGGGCGGTCAAGACTGCACGCAACTCGCGTCGATCAAGTCTCAGCCTTTCAATATCTTTCCGAACAAGCTATTCCCAGGTCTCAACGAATCAACTTACTTGACCCGAGCGATCAACGATCAAGGCGTGCGTGTCAGAATACGCAAAGACTCTCGGCAATCTCAGACTTCGAAGCGCAACAAGCGAGTTGCTGAGCGGTTTAACGACTACATGGGCAATACTCGGCCTCAGCAGCGCCAAAGAATTGGCTCATCTGCTGGCTTCGTTACCCCAAGCCTGGGCGCCAGTTCGTCACAGCAATTTTCGTCAACGGTCGCAGCAAGTCATGGCAGCGCATCAGCCTCGCTGACACAGCAAGCCTCACACGCCCCGTTACGCTACACTCTGGGTTCCTTTGCGCAGCCGAACCTCAATGCAGGAGAAGGGGCAGCGCATGAACACCCACGTCAATCCCTAAGCATACTACCCGGCCTGGCTTCTCACCGGAGCCAGGAGGGTCTTCCTCTCGGGGTCAATTATCCTTCAAGCGGTGTGGGCATGGACAACGTCTTTGGATCCTTGGCTCCTAACATGAGCATGAATCCGTTTCCCTCACCAGCTCACAGCAGCGACAGTGGCCTTCCTTCGAGCGTCAGCATGCATGGCAGCAGCGGCCCCCCAGCAGATCGCTTCCCTGATTCGGGCCACGGACTGTGGGGTCGGGACTACTCCTGATGTTACTTTCGAGACTCGAAATTGGACATGGAGTTCAGTGTTTGCGGTGTTGTAGGTGCGGTTGCTCATTCTTTTGGGAGGGATGGAGAGGGGGGACCAAGGGAGCTCGTGATGGTTGGCGTCTACGGCATATACCCATGTGCAACTTTGTTTATTTTCCTATGTCGTTCGGGTGTGAGATGACGGACTAGAGTCCTGAACCACACATACATGTACCACGATTCACTCTTACCCGTCTACCGTATTCTTCTTACATGTGAGCCATGTCTCATTCTAACAGACCATATCATTGGGGCTTCCTCGCCTCTGACTTTTGCTGTTGATCCCCAGTTGGCATATTTACCGTGGATACCTTTCGATCCCAGGTTATAGGCATGCATGACTCAGCATGCTCGTCCCCTTACCCAGAAGTCATGCACTGTGGTCAAAGCGTTTCTTGGTGCGATGAACACAGCCTTGTCTGCCCAACACGGCTTCTCCACGCGGACGAGTTCTGCGACTTGCATCTGAATGACTCCCATGACCAATCCTGCCCGTCAAGGGTTAACGACTCGGTCTTCTTTCATGCACTCGTGCACCTGCCACCTCATCGTCTCACCTGCGACAGCAGATCAGGACGCGGATCGCCGCACCCCTTGCACACTTTGTTTGACAAAGGCGCGGCAGAGGGCGACGACTCGGCGAAGGCCGACTTTGGGATCTCGGTCTCGATCCGGCCGATCATGATGGCATCTGCTACGTCTCCGGAATCATTGAGGTCCTGATCACCACAGGGATTGCTGAACGAACAGGTCAGATGAACAGTGTTCGTCGCGTTCGCGTTCGACCTGTCGTGTTTGATCGTCTCCAGGCGTCGCCTCGTCGCAGGTTTTGGAAGAAGAGGGGGGACGGGGGGGCTGAGCCTCGCCCACATCCCTGTCAGCTTATGAACGACGTGTGTGTGCTTTTCTGACGGCATTGGACTTGGAGCCTGCTTCATCATAACTGATTAAAAAAAGGCACTTCACCAACGCAGGGGCGCTGGAGAAGCCATTGGTCAGGCAGAATGGAGATGAGCTGGTTTCTCGCCGCGTGTAGCAGTCATCCTCAGGAGGCAATGCTCCGAGAGGCCTCATGGTTTCTGTCGGCCTCGACTTCGGTGCCCAGATGTCAACCGACGGGAAGCTTAGGTCGCCGGATTCGAGAGGCAGAAATGGGATCGTGGAGTCCGATGAGGGGAATGCCGGCATGTGGCAACGAGCAACAGCAAACCACGTTATCCAGGGCTCATCTCGGGGGTTGCACGTAATCCGACTTTATGCTGACAACAAGCTAGGCAGGCTCATGCGGTGAGCCACCGGTCGAAAAGCGACGCAATTGATGATGGGAATGATGAAGCTATTGGAGTAGGACACGGAAACTATTTTAAGCCTTGCTCTTCACCTTTATAAGCTTGTAAACTGTGCGGTAACTTTTACTAGACTTTTGCATCTTATATATGCTTCTGGTTAGGCTTTTTGAGAAGTTTATGTCTTGTCGACGTTCACTCCAAGCTGTGTCTGTGGACATATTTGCGACAAGATCACCCCGGACATACTCCGTGATGACCGGGGCAAGGAGCTGAATGGGTGAGAACAAAGATGATTCGATCGTCTTTGGCTTATTGGAGGTTCCTGACCAAACTAGTCACAGGATGAATGTGGCCGGCGAGTTTCCTCAAGAAACTGACGCTCTCGGAGTTTCGGGGTTCTTTTCGGTGTTGATCACGTCAGGCGCCCGCTGAAGACCTCGGTGTGCCACATTTACCGTTGGGTTGCAATCCTTCTGTCAGAACTACAGTCAGATCTGCCGTCGAAATCGTGACTGCCTCAAGCCTCAGCCAACTACTTTACCTCACACACAAAGGATTCGCTTGCCGAAAGCCTTTTGCGTTCATTCACACGATGTACTATGGGCCAACCGAGGAATGCCTCTTCAGCAGATCCACCTGCTGTCAGCATGGCAAACCAATCTGGGTAGGAGCAGGGAGTGGACACAATTGTTGGGGATGCCGTCGTCTTGCCACAGCTGCCTTCAGTGCCGACAATAGGACAGGAAAACAGGATGTTAACGGTGGCCATCCGCCCATTGGGCAGAGCACCATGCCTGGTGCCGCCGTAATATTCGTGAGCCGCCCTATATCAGGCGTCACATAAGACATGCCGCCATTTATCGTTCGTGTAGCTCCGGGCCAGCGTGACCCTTTTTAGATTCCTTGATATGGCATGGAAGGGCCTCGATCTCGGTGGTCGCAGGCTTGTTCATCGACGCCGCCCGGTCAACTAGGTCTTTCCGGGCTATTCCCCTTTGCCTCTCCAAGTGAGTACCGTAGGCGATCTATGAAGTTTTCATATCTCCGTTTTTGCCTGCCATGTAACATGGTGAACGGGGAGGCCCGCAGAAGCTTGGGCTCTCTCGTGGCCTTTGCGAGCTCCAGAACCGAAGAGGTGCTACCGAGCCGACGTGTTTACCGGCCGGGTAGCTTCACTGAGCCTTTTCCTCCTCGGTCCATCACTTCACACCCTCTCTTTACCTGGGAACCTGTCCCGCCCCATGGCGAGCAAACCAAAGCAGGCCATGCATGCCACCTGCAGCGTCGCTATGGCCAGACGCCCCAGCAGCATCCCAAGTATCAGCGCCTCAACGGTGACCTTTGCAGATCGCGACGCGCACGTCAAGCCTTCTTCCCCCCCCCCCCCAAAGGAAGAATCCGTCGCTCCTTTCGAGCGTGCCTCAACAACCTGATCACCCGAACAGGCCAATACACTTCCGCTTCCACAATGTCGCCGCGCTTGAAGAGGAAAGGTCCCAATCCCAGCCAGTTCACCGATCGAAATGCTATGTAACGCTGCGGCGCCCTCGGCTACTTCTAGGCCCACACCTCCCCTGTAAGCTCAACCCTCGGCCAGCTACCCTCTCGCATCACCATCACCCCACACCATTGCAAGTGCCAGTCGACTCGACCTTCGTTGAGCTGCCAATTCGCCCCTGCCCCCCTCCCCTCTACCCTCCCCATGTCCTTGCACTTTCTCGGATGGCGCAAATGTGTATCGCAGTGTGTGGAATGGCTGGCATCTCATTGACAGTTTCGACTCCGCTGCGCCGGGTCTTTGTCCGACGATTTAGCCTTCGATGCGGTTAGCGTCGTGCTTTTTAACCGGCCGGACGACAAGGGTTCGCCCTTCACCGCTCGATATCATCATCCCAACTCCATACATCCTCACTTAACATGACCAGTCCAGGATTCAAGAGGGAAGGAGAAGGAAGAGGGCGGGGGCAATGTCCAACTCAGTTGAAGGAGGGGTGGTTCCCTCGACGCAGGCACACACGTGTGCGGTGCTAGCGCTCCCATCATGTCTGGGGAAAAACATGCTTATCCTGGTTGTGAGGCCATACCTTGCCCAATAACCGAAGTCTTTCGTCTGCCACCCAATATGCAATGTCGGTCATCAACAAGTGGTTGCGAACCATGGGAGAGCCGACTCTGTTTTTCGTCCGGGCCGCTGGCGTCTGCTTCCTCGTGCCACGGATGAGCTCCGGCTCAAGCCGCGCGCAACCTTTCTCGAGAACAGGGTGTGTGAGAACTTTTGATGGCGGGGAATGGGGGTGTGGCGGAATCCGGTCTGCAGGGCGCGGCTTTTCGACCAAGGCCTGAGAGGATTCTGCAGCTAGTCAAGAGGCGAGGCTCGAAGTTGGGGGCATCCGTGATTGACGATTGCTCTTCGATCAGCGTCTTTCTTCTCTAAAACACATGGTTCTCGGGCCTTCCTCAGGCACATCCTGAAGCTGACGCGCCGATCCCTCGTCCCGGACCAAAGGGATCGCCACTGCCGCTTACCAATGCCGGCAGAGGTTGGGTTTCCTGCTCCTCCACCGTGCTGCTGTGATTGTGCCACGACGACAGGGCTGCGTGTTTCTGTCGTTACACCGTCGGGCTGAGGGAGTGTAGATAATATCACCCCCGCACTCGCCGGGACGTAGGCCGTAGCCTGCGAGTTGGCGTCGTGGTGGCCACCGGCTGGTGTGTCACATGGGACCGGGCTGGGCCCGCGGTGAAGTTCCGCTTCCTCAACGCTAGTGTTTCCATGGCGGAGGGAGGCTTTTCTGATGACATCTGCTGCTTAGAGGCGAGGTGCTTTAAGTGGCGCAGATGCGTGTCTGCAAACATCGTTGCTGTCGTTCAGCGCCTATTGCTTTCTGGTTCGCGTGAGTGGATTTGATGCAATTCCGGGAGTGAGATCTCCCCAACCATGTAACCTAAAGTGATGCGCTGATATGCATAGGCCTCAATTGGTATGAGGATCACCTGTTTCGCTCTGTCACAAGCACTCAAAGTCCGACCTCCAGATTCCCAAAATTGGAAATTTTGAACCAGCATTGTTATAATTGCGTCCGAGGTTTTGCCATGGTTGCTTGCCTTGGGGAACGGTCCCGCGAAGCCAACTCACGGGACTTGATCCATGATACAGGTATAGGCCGTTGAACAACGCTACAAGGCTCTAATTGGTGGACTACGGTCTACATTCTGCTGATGAGGTTGTGCCTCTGGGCTGCACAGTCTTTCACGTGGTTGTCGTAGATCAGATGAGCTGCGCTAGTATGAACTATCAAAGCCGTCGAGGAGTTAATTGGCCACTACTTCTTGAAGTTGATTGTCGGAAACAACTTGGTCCTCAGCCACGGGGCTGATTAACCACTGCGCCTCTCACAAGTGTTTGTCGTTCTATTTGGTTTCGTCACTAGTTTCTGGTGGCAGTATAACGTCAAGCAGCTGTGGGATCTCGCGGATGTCCGAACAATCGTGCAGGCCCTTTGCAGGCCTCTTCCGAATGTCCGGGTTCGAGCATGCAAAGACATCCAACGTTCCAAAATTCTAGGAAATTTGTCCTTGGATATAACATATACATATATGATTCTCTGCGCCTTTTCTCCTACCTTTACTTTGCTCATGCTCGTTAACCCCGTTGCTACATAGGTCAGCCGCTCCCATCTTAAAAGGCCAGTGCGTCCCAGTTGTCTTCTTATAACCTTTTTGTCATTGACCTGGCCACGAGTGGTAGCACTCAATCCCGTTGCGATGAGATGCCATCTCTCTCGGTCGGGTTTTACAGCTCCGTCAGCATCCACAGGCAAGTGATCATAGCCGGGGCACTCGGTGGAACTACAATTCCCTTGTGAGTATGTGTATGTCGGCGCCCCCGAGCACCTCGATCGTCCCAAGAACGACAGACACGACGCACTGCAGCAAATAGATTGTCGTTATGAGACTGGGGCTTCGCTCTCCCAATAACTAAGCTGCGTAGGATGGCGGACTGTACAATTAATGCTGTTCTCTTTGTCTGACACTGAAGAAAAAAAGAAAAAGAAACTGAAGCAGAAAGATCCACTCATAGCTGGAATAAAACTACTAGAAGGCAACTGCGTGAGAACGGGATGAGAGCAGCAACCATTGACAGAAACCTGGGATTGCTAGATACCTATACCTTTTTCCACCAGGTCGATATCATCAGCCTGTGAGAATTGACTTTGATTCAAGCCTGAAGTGATCGTCTCTAGCAGCGATTGTTCTGCTTTCCATTTTGAATTCGGGATACACATAGTACGGCGGATCTGTGGCAACCCATGGGAGACGTTCGCGTTTACAAGGAGACGCTTTTCAGCTTGAGCATAACACATTGCGAGGGTTGCGGACATGGGGATCTGCCACTTGGCCACTAGGCCGAAAGCCGCGGATCACTGAAAGGCTTACCGGTCATTCCAACAAATCAACCATACATCTCTAATAGGTTGAAATCAAAGCTCTTGAACGAGGCCAGGGTCTAGTGGTTGGGTCGAAAATCATAATGCATCTTGCTCAGTAATCTGAGCGGAGGGCTGCTGAAGCATGTGGAAGGTTTGCCGGCTCTTCAACGACGTCGCTTTGTCCAACTAAGGCATTCGACCAATTTGGGCCGGGATCAGCTTTTACTAATGAACGAATATCAATAGCATAAGGATCTGTCCTTACCATCTCAGGTTTGGAGGAATTTAGTAGAACTGATGCAATCGTGAAATGCTGTTTGAGTCACATTACGATTTGACCAGTGCGGCGTAGCATGCAGAGGCGGCGACGTGCGACACGATCACCGGGCTGTGCAAGGGCCTGCCATCATTGTATTTGACATGCTTGTATCAGCTGGCGCAGCACACACGATTTAAACTCGCACTACCTGGGGGCTGTGGCACTTGCGTCCTTGCTGCAGGATTGCTGGCGCTTGCGACTTATCGTACAAGGGGACGGGGTCGGGGAGAGGCATAGTGTCCGATGTCCGAGATCGTATTGCTCCTACCAACATCACGGGAGCAATCAAGACTTTTTGTCGGCGTAGGTCGACGAGTGACGTCGGCTTCCGACTCCCTACGGAGTTCGGAGTATATGATGGCAGCATAGATCCGATGGTGGAGTCTTTCTAATATAGGTGTCTTATATCTGGCTTGTTAGCGAACTCCGCCTTTGCTTGTTGTCTGTTTCCAGGCGAACAGCCTGGCTAGCTCCAGTCCTCTGCTTGACTTGATTTCAACCTGGCAGGGCTGATGGAAAACAAATGTTGAATGATGGTGGTCATTGTCGTCAGACGGCGCATCACGACGTAAGATACGATTTCAGAAAGGCTCTTCATGTCTGGACGTGTATAGCTGCTTGAGCTCACCCTTGAACCTTGAGAGTGCGTTCAATCTCCTGGCCTACGGTGACTGGTTGGTTCTGAATAAAACAGCAGGCTGGCTTTCCGATGTGCGCAAGACAGCTACGCCCATGCTGCTAGGCCAACATGAAATAAATGCGCAGGAACTTTATTTGTCTAAGCGGAGCCATGTACATGTACATGGTAGACACTCTGACTCGATCTTTTTTTTTTTAATTGACTTATCTTAGTAATCATATCATCAAGGCCTCGTTGAGGCGGTACAAAACGATTAAAGCAACTACCTGAGATATCCCATTGCCATGTAAAGGATCCGATGTATTGCGCCGGATGGCTTTTTAAAAAGATGTGCCCTTCTCACACAAACTGGACACAGCCACTAAGTAAATCTGACAAAGTCGCTGCCAATGGGTACAGAAGTAGACTTAGTCTTCGGGCCTGATTACATTGTGTGTCCGAGAATGCAAGAGAGTGACACCCGAAGCGGGCTGGGCCGCAAATCACATATCCACTGTACGTAACCCGATTCATTCCATCAGGCCTGATTGGTACTGAATTATTTAATGTGCAGACAGATCTACACAGCCCGAGACCTGGCGACGTGCCACAGCTAATAGGAGCCGAGCAAAGAAAAGGCAATCAAGACCGCCAAAAGATCTCCAACCACTCGATGTAATAATCTGATTTACCTGTATCGCTGTCTGTTTATTGCCGCCGGATTTCAAATTGCACAATGCCTTCGGAGTTCAGTTTGTGTCAGGGATTGAGTTGACATGGTGATACTCCTCTGTCCTACCTAGATATAATACCTGGCTCCTCACAATGTACCCATGATGCCAAAACCTTTCGTCCTATCAGTTTACTCTTAAAAGCTCATTAGTGCAAATAAATTCGACATGAACCAACATGAGCCCCTCCAGGGCGGTTGGTGGCTGAGCCACCTCGTAGACAGCTTCGAGATACAGTTCTATCGACCTTTCTTCACGCTCGTTCTAGCCCTTCTTATTCCTGCTGCTGCAGTGAGCCTTTATTTCAAAGAAGGGCAAGCCGTGTCTCCTATGTGGCCCCAACTTGAGGCTCAAAAGCAGAAAGGCTTTTTGACAAAGGGGAGTAAGTATCTAGAAGATAGTAAAGAGTTGCATAGCGACGACCCTTTCACCATACTTACCGATCGTGGCATGAGAACCGTTTTCCCCGCTGCAATCGCCGACGTTATTCGCAACATGACATCGCTTCGCTTTAGCAAGTCTGTGTCTGACGTATTCAAAGGCCGCGCCTTGAGCCAGTGGGAGTCGTGCTGACAGGTATTAGGAGTTCCATGGTGGTCTCCCTGGCTTCGAGCCTTTCGCAATGCTCGACAATCCATCTCAAGTACTGCAAAAAGTAGTGCGTAAGCAATTAACGCAGCGGCTAAGTACGTAGGCTTGACGGACCATACGTGATGCTGTGGTTAAACATGTTGACGAGAGATAGACACGGTTGTCCAGCCTTTATCATCAGAAGCTGTGTTTGCTGTCCACCATATCTTTGGAAGCTCACCTGGTGAGGATCATGCAGGCCGTCTCCGAGGATGTTTGATGTACTAACGGAGCCCTGAGACTGGCGGCAGATTAAAATCGAGAGTTCTGTCTCGGAACTCGTCGCCCGCATATCTTCGCGTGTGTTTCTCGGTGAAGAACTCTGCCGGCATGAGAAGTGGCTGGAGATCACGCAGTCATACACCGTCGCATCTTTCAAGGCAGCCGCCATACTCAGGACCTACCCTCGAATCGTCCGACCTCTGGTCAACTGGCTCCACCCGAACGTTAAAGTAATCCGCAGTACCATCGCGGAATCTCGCCGCATCATTGGTTCGCTCGTCGAAAGACGTCAGAAGCTCCGAGCGGAAGCGCGGACAACGGCTCGCCTGAGCCTAGATTCAACGACGCGATCGAGTGGGCAGAGTTAGAGGCCGAAGGCTATCCCTGCGATCCCGCCGTGTTCCAACTAACCTTAAGCTTTGCTGCGATACGCACCACGACTGACCTTTTGACCCAGGTAATTCTTCGGTTGGCACACGGAGCCGAAGAATATCGAGCCGCTTCGCAGAGAGATGTGAAGATCTGCAGGTGATGGTTGGACGAAGAACGCACTTTCAAGATGAAACTGCTCGACAGCGCGGTCAAAGAGGCACAAAGGTTGAAGCCGATCAATCTTCGTAAGATTTGAAATCCATTTGATTCCGGGCCTCGCAAGCTCTCTAACTCGATCTAGTTGAAATGCGCCGCATGGCGGTCGAGGATGTGACGCTCCCAGACGGCACTCTCATCCGCAAAGGAGCACATATTGCCGTGAACAACACTGGATTTTCCCGTCCTGAAGTATACGAGGACCCTGAAAGGTTCGATATTTACCGCTTCAAGCGTATGCGGGACGAGCCTGGCAAGGAGCACACGGCACAGCTTGTGTCGACGAGCCTCAATCATCTGTCGTTCGGCCACGGCAAATTCGCCTGTCCGGGTCGATTCTTCGTGGCCAACGAACTAAAACTAGCCTTGTGCCACCTCCTCTTGAAGTACGATTGGAAGGCCACGCCTGGGGTCTCGCATGACCCTCTCGTCTTGGGCACCACGATTATGCACAACCCGGAGACCAGCATTCAGTTCAGAAGACGAAAGGAGGAAATCGACCTCGAATCTCTCGAGATCGAAGAGTGAAGCCAGTCTTAGTGTGTACTGGTCCAGAATTTTTGCGTTGTGATTACATTTCACATGACCCAAACCATGGAGACAGGTCATCCATCCTATCACCTGAAGCATAAATTGATATTAAGGTACAAATTGTTCGCAACAACCGTCTGTGTTCGTGAAGAAATTGGTCAGAGTGTTTCCCACACTAAAGACAGCCTGTGACACCACTGCTACATGTTGAAGGCCTTGTATGACTCCGTGTCAAGATACGTGTCCTAAGGTACAATGAACGATGCTGTCGCGCAGTTCAGCACTTGATGGTGTAGTTGACCGTCTTCTGAAATGATTTGATAGACCGGCGGTGCTACTGGCTGTCGGCTTGATTCAGTGCATTGTGATGTACTCAACGACGATGACATACGAGCATTGAGTCGATACGTTCTTCCATGGCAGAAGCATGATACTGTGGTCGGTGCTCAGCAGTGTGTTTTTGAAGTGCAGAATCCCTGCAGGTCCGATCTTATTGATTGCTCTATACCCAAAATGAAACCCAAACGCCGTCTAGTCCCAAATGCAACCATGATATCCTCCCTAAACGACAAGAGCAAACAAGGCAATACTTCCGACTATGGTCAAACTGACAGCACTCCGCCCAGCAGCGCTGTCATTGGCATCGGTCGCAGAGGGCGAGGCACCGTCAGCTGTCGCCGCAGCACCCGCAACGATGGCGGACG